ATTGTCTGCTACCTTTACCTTTTACAGTTTTCAAACGAAAATCCACCGCAATGTTCTTGAGCCACGGTGCCACCAATAGCCGCCATGTTGAAAAATTTTGTGGAGTCATCCTTAGTGTGCATGTGCTGACAGTAAACACCGCTGACACCCGGAAGACTCTCTCTGACCCAGCCTCTCTCCGTTGTCAAGATGGCGGAACATTTCGAATGTTTGTCTTCTTTCCAAGTTCTGGACTCTATTCCCGTCGAAAAATACCGTTCCAAACGAACAGGAATCAACTTTTGTTTTGCTAAAGTTCCTGGCCCGCTGGTAAATGGTTTTCTTTGTCTCGGTAAGTGCTAAACAGCATCATTTGTCAAGTGTTACAAATCGATCTAAAACTTTCTGCGGAAATTTTGAAGGACAGGTGATGTTAAGAAGCTATTTTAATTGAGAAACAGGCAACAATATTTACCATGTTTCTGTCGAGTCATAGAAACGCGAGTGCAAGTTTGGGATAATGAGAAATGCTGTGGGAGCTCGAGCCGACAGGCGAGTGTTTCCACACTTTTTTCGAGTTTGCTAATCTTTTTTTTCTATCTTCCTTTTCTTGTCATATTTTAGTTAACAGCCCCCGAAAAATAACAAACAACGTGACAACAACAACTTTTCTGTGTTGCTATCGAGTTATAGAAACTTAACACGATTTTGTTGCCAATCAGCGCGCATATAGATTTAATTTTCTTTAGGCTGTTTTCTAATTATAATCTGTTGCGCACTTAGCTACTGAGGCTCACGACGATGATGGCTTGCCACACACTCTGGAACACCTGGTATTCATGGGAAGCGAAAATTATCCTTACAAGGTGAAATATGCAAATAATTTTCAACTCATTTCTGCACATCTTTAAATACACAGTTCTTACTAGCTTCTCAAGTGCCCCCAGATTTCCCAGGTGCATAACATCTTGCAGCCAAAAGCATGAATCCATTGTTTTAAATAACATAATTATGATAACATACATGTATGATTTGGGTGCTAAAAATTTTAACAAGATGTGGCTATGGAAACAAAAATGGCATTATAACATGTGGCTATTTGTTTGATAGCATTGTTATGGCATCAAATGAAAAAGAATTGTAGCAGATCTATATGAGTATGCACTGAATAATGCTGGAAACCGACTTGAACATAACTAATGAACCACAATGAATGTGTTCAATGTGGTATTTTAATGCTATTCAGGGTCTCCTAGACTTACTAGCCAACAGATGCTTGGCTCAAGGAACCAACGCATGGACTGCAACAGACCACACAGCTTACACCATGGAAACAGCAGGTAGTGAGGGTTTCCTAAACCTTCTGCCAATCTACCTGGATCATGTGCTGTATCCAACTATAACGGTAGGGATTTTAAGTTGTTCTGGTAGATTTATCTTCATGATAGACCGTTAAATATAATGTGGCATCATTAAACTGATGTCTAGGAGTTTCCCCGTAAGATTTTGGAGATTTAACCTGGAGATCCAGTACACTGATGATCAGCTCTACATGTTACCTGTACTACCAAAATATATTCATATAGGTTTGCTGTATACAGATGTCTGCAGAACTAATTTTCTTCTCACTTGGGAAGAATTAAGCATGTTAACAGAGACTTACTTCCTTTTTCTAAGGTCAGCTTGAAATGGTGTGCACAACTGTTTTTTTGCCATGTTCATCTTCTTTTGTAGGAATCAGCATACATAACAGAGGTTCACCATGTGAATGGAGAGGGTGAAGATGCAGGTGTGGTTTACTGTGAGATGCAAGGAAGGGAGAACATGGAGAGGAGTAGAACATATTTGAACTTCACTCGAGAAATGTACCCTGGACACTGTGGTTATAAGGTAACTGAGTTTGATCTGTATGTTTACAGCATGGATGTGGTTACCTTATTAGTTGAGATACGTACATGTACAAGTAGGGCAGGGTTGTCAAAACTTGCCGACTGCGATCTCTGCTGATATCTCCTGGGCTATTCCTCTGATTCTTTAGTAAGACATGATGGCAAAACTGTGCTACAGTATATCCCCCAACAATCAAGCCACCCACTTCAAAATTTTGTGACAACGTGAACCATGCAGGTGCTTAACATGCAAACTACTTATAATAATAAACAACTCTAAGCTTTGTTAAAATTGCTGTGTCAAATACATGTTTATAATGAACATTATTTTAGGATGAAAATGTAGATTCTTAACCAAAATGAACTTCACAAGGAGAATGAAACAACTACACTCTGCATCAGGCTTTCAGCAAGGATTTGAAAAGTGGGCATCAAAAATGTGCTAAAGGGTCTACTCTAAATGACCAGTAGTTG